CAAAGCTGAGCCTCATAAATCCTGGGACTGGGATAAGAGAGAAGAATGCAAACAGCGACTTGTCAGGGAGGACTCCAGGCCTGTGCAGAAAGCGGCCGGTCGCCACACAGGGCGAGAAGACAGCTGCAGCTGAGCCTGTTGTGTGTAAAAGCGTTACAGCCCCAGTCCAGAGCCGTGATACAGCTGATAGGCTTGGAGTTTGTTTTCTCACATACTGAATTCTTGAGGAATCATTTATTAAAGCCTGCTTTTTCTCTGGGCTATCAACTTTCAGGAAAATGGAACTCCAAAAAAAAAAAAAGGTCTTTTAACTTTTCCCAAGCAGAATCTTACACAATCCAAACCTTATTAAAATAAACACCCTGCCATAGGATTTATACTCCAGAACGAGCTGTTTGGAGGTTGTGTACTCAGAGGACGTTTTATAAGAGCAGAAACATGCAGTGATGTTTCTTTCAGACGTTTGCGTGTAAATTTTTGTCCAATTCTGTGCCATGTAATTAATACTGATTCAACAGTGTTCCAAGGTGATCACCTTGGTACCAAACGCTATGGCATTTTCCAGAACTATGCTATTGTGTAAGTGCTTTGAGTAAGTTCCAAATAACTCAGACCACAAGATCCGAGTTCTTGGTGTGTTTTCACAGCGCTGGTGGCTTCCTGCACTTTTTAAGGTGCTTGCGTCGTTGTTAGGGCCCGGCTTTCCTTTCTCTGCCTGAAAATGGAAGCACTTCCTTTCTTCTTACTGTTTGAAGCTGGCATGTGCGGGCCCCTCCCCGGCTGAGTGTTTAGGAGAAGAGCAGGATGGGCCCCATCCTAGTAACTGAACCCTAAGCATCCACTGTGCGGAGGGGGAGGCAGGGGTTGATACGTAGCTGCATCCAGAGCCTGGGATGCTGGAGACCCGCCCATTGTCCTGGGTTCCTGGCACATTAGCCACAGCGTCTGTGATGCGTGGTGGTTGTCAGGCTACTTCCCGTGTTCTTTTTGTAGGTGAGGAAAGGCCGTCTTGGAGAGAGCAGATAGCATGTCTGAATTCACTCACCTGGAACAGTCTCACTCAGATCTCAAAACTCTTTCCACCAGATGAGAAACACAAAGTCTAAGGAAACTGCAGTAATTCTTTTTTTTTTTTTAAGGAGTTACTGAAGAAACTTTATTCACAGAACAAGTGTGAAAATATCTTTTTATTGGTATTAAAAGGGAATTTTAAGGCTGTAATACCAGCTCTTTATTCCTTAAAGGGAAGCAGTTACTATAATGATGTACTTGGAGCCACACGGCTAGTTAGCACCTTTCCCCCTTCATTGGGGAACCATGAAATCTATTATGTTCCCCCAGGAGGGCAGTTTTCAATGAGAAATTGCTACATCTGTAAAGAACATTTTCCAATTGACCATGATGAAAAGATTTTATCCACATCTACACGATGATGACAAAATTGGACATGACTAAAAGGTTTGGGCAGCCCAATTCTCAGGAACAAAACCTAGAAACAAATGTCATGATACCCATAAAAATGCCTTGATGTGTCACAGGACACCAATCTAAGCCTTTAATTCACATTCCAGTGCAGATGGCCTCAAAGGTGTTTTGTTTTTGTTTTGTTTTGTTTTTTTTGCGGTACGCGGGCCTCTCACTGCTGTAGCCTCTCCCGTTGCGGAGCACAGGCTCTGGACGCGCAGGCGCAGCGGCCATGGCTCACGGGCCCAGCCGCTCCGCGGCACGTGGGATCTTCCCGGACCGGGGCACGAACCCGTGTCCCCTGAATCGGCAGGCGGACTCTCAACCACTGCGCCACCAGGGGAAACCCTCAAAGGTGTTTTGGATCAACTCTTTTTGTTTTTTTTTTTACATCTTTATTGGAGTATAATTGCTTTACAATGGTGTGTTAGTTTCTGCTTCATAACAAAGTGCATCAGTTATACATATACATATGTTCCCATATCTCTTCCCTCTTGCGTCTCCCTCCCTCCCACCCTCCCTCCCTATCCCACCCCTCCGGGCGGTCACAAAACACCGAGCTGTGGATCAGCGGTTTTTAATTTTTTTTTTTTTTTTTTTAGCAGAACAGCCCTTTTCTCAAAATTTTACATGGAACCCAAATATGTAAACAAACTGCAGTCATTCTGTCTCGGAGAAATATTTTGTTCTATTCAGTGAGATTTGGAATATTCTGAAGATAAACAGAACCTGGCTCCTCTCAGAAGCCGAGTTTGACACTGATTCAGAAACGTTGCTCACAGTTTAAAACAAATAAGAGGGGCGTCTCCTTGGGGTGCTGCCTCGAGTGTTACCTAATCTTGCTCCCAGACCTTGTCCCCCTGACCGTCTGCTGAGGAGAGAAGTGAGGGCCAGGGAAGAGGAGGAGGAATGGGGACAAAGGAGGTGCTGATGGGATGGGATGGGCCGCTCCGGCATTACCCTTTCTAGCTCTTCACTCCACTTTTGTGACTTCAATCTTCTGGATGAACTTTTTCTATATTTGAGGTACTTTTCCTAGGAAAAAACTTATGAAACTTTATGACACTTGGTGTGTAGAATCGGTCACATAGAGGAGGGCATACCGCTTAATGCTATTTTGCTAACTTTAGAGTTAACAACTTAAGAATACCATGAGGTTGATGGCAGTGTAGGATACTGATCTTGACGTAGTCAAAACTAATCGGTAAACAGTACTTGACTAGTTAACTAGGGCAGCGGCATGCACCGGTCAGAGTTACAATTTTGTCCCAAAATATTGCAGATGCAAGAGCCCCTATTACAGCTCCTAACACTCGCAGGAGGCACCCGAAATGTTAATTTAAACAACTTAAGTAATTGTACGTGGAATCTAAAATATGACAAAAAATGAACTTACCTACGAAACAGACTCACAGATGGAGAGAACAGACTTGTGGTTGCCAAGGGGTTGGGGGAGGGAGGGGGAAGGACTGGGAGTTTGGGATGAGCAGAGGCAAACTATTATATATAGGGTGGATAAACAACAAGGTCCTACTGTATAGCACAGGGACCTATATTCAATATCCAGCGATAAACCATAATGGAAAAGAATATGAAAAAGAATGTATATATATGTATGTATGACTGCATCACTTTGCTGTACAGCAGAAGTTAACACAAGATTGTAAATCAACTATACTTCAAATAAAGAAATAAATAATACCAGTAATGCTATAACTTGACACTGCCATCCCTCCACAACACATCACTTTCTCTGGAGGGGTATGGAACACTTGAGCAGGAAGATCTGACCTAAATATATCAGAGTACTGGTAGTCACTGGGAACTTTCCCCTCTATTTATCACTTAAGATTGACAAAGTAGGAGAGGCATTTTGTTTCCTTCCCTTTTCTTATGACTAATAAAACAGACACAGCGTGTCCAGGACAGGGAAGTACATACTTGCTTCTGGATTAGGACAGAACTGTTTGGAGAATGGCCTGCGGAAGCTTTGTACAGCTTTGTGGAGGACACAAATTGGCAGAAGCAGTAGCTGCAGAAATCCCTCCAGCCTTCATGTCTGCCCCGTAAGCGGATAAGAGCTCTACCACGAATTTTGAATTTTGGGTAATTGCCAATGGCCTCAATCTTTATGCTTGAGCTTCGATGAGTGGCCATACCACCCAATCTACACAACGCATTAATACCTGTGAAACTGACGATTTCCACCCTTGTGAAAATGCACCTCTTCCAGGGCATTTTGACTCTCTTTATGGTCCTTAGGGCATCCACTTGCATGGAAGGGCTTTGTCTTGGAACTAATTTCCCTTCCATCTCTAATTACTGGCTACCTAGTAACTGATGCCCTAATTAGCTGATTTTTTTAAATCCCTGTTTTAGAGCTCGTGTTTCATGCCTTTTCCATGGGGGTTAGAAAAGTAGCATCAAGAGCTATCGTGGTAGAGTGGGAGGGACACAGGCTTTGGGATCCATCAGAAAGTCAAGATGTAGGTTGTAATCAGAGAGCCACCTGTGCCCCTTGGTATTGACCTTCAGGTGTAGCCTAAGTTCTCCAGTTAATAGTAAAATGGTGATCATAACAGTCATTTCACAGCTTCACAGGACCCAGTGAAGATGTGCCTGTGAAAATCTTTTAACTGTGAGGTTCTACACAAATGTTTGTTATTTCCGTATTCCATTCCCTTTTTAGAAGACAGCTTTATTGAGACAAAACTCACATACTTTACATTTCACCAAAATGTACAATTCAGTGTTTTTTATGTGCTCCCATCAGCACAGCTTTAGGATTTCTTTATCATCTCCAAAAAAAAAAAAAACCCCACAAAAAACAAAACACATACTCTTTAACTACGACACCCTATCCCCCTCCACTACCTGTTTAATTTTTACTTTGGATTTGTTAGCAGAGACTCTCAGCTAATTCTCTAAATTAAAACAAGATTACTTGTGAATGACACTTAAGATACTGTTTCCTGTGAAGAATGTCTCCAAAGGCTTTCCAGTTAATGCTCTAAGTGCGTTGGCAGGATGAGGGACGGGAGCTCAGTGTTAATACGTGATGTTACTGGGACCATCACAATTCCCAAGCCAGGTCTGTTTTTAGAAGCACAAAGATGAGGCCTCACTAGGAGCTGAGAAGGGGCTCATTCCGGTGGTGGATGCGGGGGGAAGGCTGGGAGGAACCAGTGGCCGCTGTTTGTGCAGAGAAGAGGGATGCCGGCTCTGGAGCAGGGCTTCCACCTCCGGGGAAATACTTATCAGAAAGCTGCTTTTACTTTTCCTTAACTTTCTATGCTTGAGCTTGACTTCATACAGCTGAGGGAGAGGGGGACAGAGCTAGTACTACAGCCCCTCTGCCTCATGTGCGACCTGCACATGACTGGAGAAGTGGAAGCGGGGTGGGGTTGGCTGGGAACAGGAACTCAACCTTGGCCTCCGTTCCTTCCAGGTCGCCAGATCCCACCGTTGGACCCCCATGAAAACGGAAACAATGGAACAATCAAACTGAAGCCAACCTCGCAGGCCGGCCGGCGGTGCTGCTGACCTGGGGCTGGGGTCCCCTGTGCTTGAAGAGGCCGGAGCTCCCCTCCCCGTGCGCTGCTGCGGGGGCCTCCCACCCTCGGTGGCCTGGCCCCTGGCTCAGAGGGAGGTGAGACCCGCAGGGAACGGGGCAGGGAACATCCCTGGAAAAGGATTCTTCAAAACTCTGGGAAAAACCACCACACTGCCAGGAAAGGGCCTTTGGTGCGTGAAATTCACTCGGAGGGAATGGATTTAGGTATTAATTATAGTTGAGTTTTTTGTTAAAAGCCTCAAAATATTCTTAAATTTGTACAGAAGTCTTACTGGCTTATGTGTGTGAGATTCTAAACTGGTGTTCCACTCTGATTTCCTACGTTTCTAACCAAATTTCAGGAACTTCTTCAGTGCCATTGCCTTAATTACTCAATCAACCTCCACTGAAAGGTTCATGGAATTTCCCTTTCAGTGGAGTGTAATTGGACCATCTGCTATAGACTTGCGCTGTTATGAAAGTGGAGAAAGATGTATTAGGAAGTTTTATCTACATCTGTGACGTTTACTTAATGAACATTTTTCTAAGTTTTGGTCATATAAACCAGCCAACCAAATCTGACTACAATATATCATGTCATTCTGGGATTTGGAGGGCCGGTTTGGAAGTCATTGGAGTCACTACTGTGTAGACTGTAACAAACGCAGGGTATAAATATTATTCCAGAGACCACCTGGTTTGCATCACCTCCACAGTAATGAATTCCCACTCTCTTAGGGAAGTTTCACACAGAGTATTATTTTACTAAGAGAGTTTGTCATAGTGTCATATCCGGGGAACAAATTACCTGGAGGATGTTTGAATCTAAATTGTAGGGCAAACTTCGAATAATATCAATGAATAATAGGTTACAGGAAAGCCAGCCAGAGGAAGTACCAGCACATTAAGATTCTAGACCCCCCAAAACTGCAAAATCAGAGAAAGTCTTTAAGAAGATGCCAAGCTTTGGGGCTGTGGGTATTAAGGCTAACCAGAGGGCCAACCCTGGAATGCCAGTTGGCTGAGAACAAACTTCAGTGAACCCTCCCTTTTCAGGTTTCCTGTCTGCTCAATTAATTAAAGATGTCTGAATCCAATGGAAGGAAAAGGGAAGAAGGCATGGAAAGGAGGAAAAGCCGTCCCCATTGAAAATTCAAATCCTGTTTCCATTCTAACTTTCATAGAAACCTGGGCTCATGTTGGGAGGTGATTCTTGGAGGATATTCAGATTGGTGCCCTTTTTGGGGGTGAGATGTGGTTGATCACGCAGTATAGCATCAGGGCCAGCTGGTACCTTCAGGGCTCAACAAACATTAATTGGAAACCTACAGTGTAAAAATCAGGGAAGAGATCATAAGCTGAGTAAAACCCTCGAACTTTCAGTAACTGTGCTTGAGTCCTGCCAGGCTCTGCCCCTGAGCCCTGGATGGGCGGGGACGCTGAGTCTGCCACCCAAAAAAGCGAGAGTCCTTGAGAGACCAGGGCCGAGTTCACACTTCTTCACGTGGACTGCAATCAAGAAAGCAGGTCGAAATCTCAGATTTAGGGTTTTTAAACTCGAGAATGTGTTGTCAGTTTGATGTTCTTACTGCTTCCTCCAGCTTGCAAGAGTAACTTGACAATCTTAGGACACGAACGCTGGAAACACTTATTTTTGGTTCAGGAGTGCCTCGTAGCTCTCTCAGACGGGTTCCTCAAAAACTGTTAGCAGTTGGCACGTGGACGTCTTGGCAGGGCCTTTGCAGGGTTTTTTAGGGTTTTCTTCACCTTGTCACTTTTATGGGCTACTGTGATTCTGCTTGCAGGCCAAGCGATTATCTTGCCTCTTTCCGAAGTTAAAAAAAAATGTGGGTTGCAAATTCAAATGACCTAATTCCAGGTGTAATGTAGGCTTATTTTGGAATCTTTCATCATCCAGCTGTCCCCGAGGACCTGGGCTTGTCTCTAGACAAGGTTGCCTAGCTAAGGAGGTACGCAGCCCAGCAAGTCTTCGGTGCTCGCATCTTGCATAAAACAGCCGGTCTTAACCAGGAGGCTACCCACCCATGAGGTGGGTACCCACCCAGAAGCCCACGAGGGTGGGAACCACTCTTTTGCCTTCCTGTATGGCCTTAACTATTCAAGCCATCAGGGGACAATGTGTCTATAGTCAGTCCTTGGAGCAATTGGTAGAAAGAGTAGATGGCACTTGGGCACACACACGTTCACAGGAACACGGCGTCTTCCCTGAAGATAGGTGCTCGAGCCTTGTCCGCAAGGAGGCTTTCGGATCTTCCTTTATTTTGCCTTGAGAGTACTTTCTGGCTGTTCTAATCTTTGAACTATAACCACGCAATATCATGTAAAGGCCTGGAAATTACTGTTGCTCCAAAATGTCAAGCAGCATCCTTTGCCCTATTTCCCCAAATGTGCTCTTTTCCTCTGTTTTCCTTCCTCTCCTGTGCGGTACCCATGTGTATATGTGTAAATATGATTTCATATTTGTTATGCCGACATGTGATCCATTTCACTGGCTGAGTCTGGCTCGTGACTCTGTGTCATGTAACGCAGGCACGGGCTCTCAGAGGGATTATTTCCCGGTGGGAATCTCTAAAATGGCAGTGGGGTCATGCAAACATTCTACCTACGCACATAATTGACCTGCCATTTTCATAGTGGAAAGTGGTACATCGGGGCGCTAAAGATGACTTCCCTTGCAAACCATAGACGGCTGAAGACCTAAAGCCAACATTTAGCCAAGCAAAGGGTTGGGACCCACCGAGGACCGAGGGAGGCTCGGGTGGCCAAAGTATGCCCCCTGAGATCAAGGAACGTGGCCTGTGATGGCTGAAACTGGCTCCCCTCAGGGGCCCTGCTTCTCCCTGCTCTGCCATGCTCATTGCAACTTGAAGAAAGAGTGGGCTCATAAATAAAAGGACTCCAAGCCTCATTCAGACCTATTAGGTTCTGGTTTAACCATGAAACCAGACCCAGTGATCCATTGTCACCGCTCAGTTTGTAAACTGCTCCCTTTCTCGTGTTTTTGTAAAGGGCTTCTGTCTGGGCTGGACCCAGTTCTCATGTATAGAAGACGCTGCTGCAGACATTAGGACCTTTCCACCTTATATTCTGTAGTAAAGCATTGCCCTCCACATCGTCCAATTGTATCTGTTATTTTTGGTTTAACACACACTGATTCATACTAATAAATATTTTAAGTTTTACCAACTTTGTCTTTTTCTTATTATAATGTTCGGATGAATAATTGTTTTAAGTAACTTGCTGGCTGTGGGAGGGTTTGGAAGGTCAATCTCTCTAAGCTTCCGTTTCCTCACATATCAAATGCAGAAAATAATTCATATGCACACATCCACAATTCTGGAATCCCAAAAGCTTTGGAAGGGACTTTTTCTTAAGTTTGATATGGACTCATTTGGCCGTAAAACCAGACCTGAACTGATGTGATGCTATTTATAGCTACTTATCCAACCAGGCGGGGGTGAGGGGGGAATGTCTGCACATTCGGTTGCAGAATTCCTGCTGTTTGCTTGTAGGATTCGATCCCTGGCTCTGCTGCATGTTCTGTAATAGATGCACCATATTACTGTTATAAATTCCAAACAAAATTCCGAATTCTGAAAACATCTGCCCCCAAGGTGTCATACAAGGTATGATATCCACCATATAAAGCTGTAGCATCTACCCTGCAGGTGTGTGTCCTCAGGATTCAAGGAGAACATGCGTGTGAAGAGGGCTGCCCATGGGGGCTCTGGGCAGCCAGGAGGGCCCTGTGTACACAGACGTCAACACCCTCAGTGCCTCCTGAGTGGGCTTTACGGGTTTCACTGGACAGAAAGTACCTCTTTTGGTCCCGGCACGGAGCAGGTGCTCGTAAACGAGAGCAAACACGAATTTAGCAACCTGCTTTGCTCTAGCTATTGTCCCAGGTGTTTTACATCATATGACCTCATTCTATTTTCACAACCCCCTTTATCAGGCAGATACTATTATCCTCTCCATTCTACAGATGAGGAAACCGAGGCCCAGGAGGTTAGTAAGTCGCCTACGACCATAGACTGGTAAGAGAGGCAGAAGTCAAATGCTAGCTTCTGTTATCTTCTCCTGTCTTTTTTAATTAAAAAATTTAACTTTTGGGGCTTCCCTGGTGGCACAGTGGTTGAGAGTCCGCCTGCCGATGCAGGGGACACGGGTTCGTGCCCCAGTCTGGGAGGATCCCACATGCCGCGGAGCAGCTGGGCCGGTGAGCCATGGCCGCTGAGCCTGCGCGTCCGGAGCCTGTGCTCCACGACGGGAGAGGCCACAGCAGTGAGAGGCCCGCGTACCACAGGGAAAGAAAAGAAAAAAAAATTAACTTTTTTTTGTTAATAAACTTTTTTTTATTTTTGGCTGTGTCGGGTCTTCATTGCTGCATGCGGGCTTTCTCTAGTTGCAGTGAGCGGGAGCTACTCTTCATTGAGGTGCGCGGGCTTCTCATAGTGGTGGCTTCTCTTGTTGCGGAGCATGGGCTCTAGGCGCACGGGCTTCAGTAGTTGTGGCACGCAGGCTCACTAGTTGTGGCTCGCGGGCTCTAGAGCGCAGGCTCAGTAGTTGTGGCGCGGGCTTAGTTGCTCCGTGGCATGTGGGATCTTTCCGGACCAGGGCTTGAACCTGTGTCCCCTGCACTGGCAGGCGGATTTTTAACCACTGTGCCACCAGGGAAGTCCCAAATTTAACTTTTTAAATTAAAGTATAATTAACACATAACAGTTTCAAATGTACAATAATGACTCCATATTTGTATATCTTGGGAAATGATCACCCACAATAAGTCTAGTTAACATCTGTCACCTCACATAGTTACAATTTTTTTTTCTTGTGCTGAGAACTTTTAAGATCTACTGTCTTAGCAACGTTCAAATATGCAACATGGTGTTATTAATTATCATCACCACACTGTCCGTTCTATCCCCAGGACTCATATTCTAACTGGAAGTTTGTACCTTTGACGACTTTCTATTTTCCCCTTTCTTTACTCTCATTATAAGGACTGTAAAAATAAAAGAATGAAGGAAAGGAAATCCACATTCACTGAATGCTTCCCATGAGCTAAATCCTTTCAAACTGTATCTCATTTTATCCAAAACATGAATCTGAGAAGGATGCACGATTGTTCTCACTTGTGCAGGAGGAGCACAGAGGGTTCAGCTGGCCTTCTGAGGTCTGCTTAGTTGGGGAGCAGGACAGCCCCCCACCATGCTGAGGCCAGGCTACCACTCTTGCATCTCAGGAGGAGGTGCTGGCCGGGGACCCAAGGGTTAAGCAGCTCAGGCTGGCAGAGCTGAATCACGATTAACGAGATTTCACTCAACTATTACCTGATCCCAACTGCGGGTGTGCTGACCCTCCACCCACTGCTCAGACTGCTTCGTGTATCTTTTCCTTGTCCCTGACTTTGACATTGACCCCATCATTCAGCCGGGACTCAAGTTCTTCACTGGCTTTTTGAAATGGCTTCTGGATCAGCGTCTGACAAGTCTGACTTTACAGGGCCCGAGGCACTGAATTCCTTCAGAGAACCCAGTCCCCAAACCCTGTCCCCAAGTGGGCCCGGATGACTCAGGCGGGGCTAGTGTCCTCTGCTCGCCTTTACCTTGAGTTTTCTCCGGATTTGTGCCTATTCTCTCCTTTTTTGCTCCTTCCGAAAAGGATCCCAGCTCACTTCTAAAGCATGTCCCAAGCTTTTTTTTTTTTGCTTCCATCTTAAAATTCCCTCTGCACTGTTTTCTCCTCTTGTTCACTTACACATATGCATAAATTGTCACTAGGTTTGATAAACTACTGTCCTTCTCCTTTTCCCCATCAAGCTACCCTCTCTTTCCTTCACACTAATTGAATTCTTAAAGGAGAACCGTGACCTTCTATTCACTCCTCACCTGAATTTAGGTACCTAATTGCCCCACCACTGCCCTCTTTCTTCTCACTCCCCCCACTTCCCCAAGGGCACCCGAGGCTGTTGACTTACCACCTGATGCTCCTTCTCTGGCCTCTGGCCTGGGCTCCAAGGCTCTCCTGGCTCCTCCCCCTTTACACATACCTGCTCAAATGCAGGTGCTTCCTGCAAATCCGTGCTCCTAACCCTCCTCCATTGATACCCCTTCCTAATGATCGCCTGCAATCTCAGGATTTCAACTATCACCTCTGAGTGTTTGTCTTCCACATGGTGGTCTGGCCTGACTTTTCTCCGGAGATCAGACCTTGATCTCCAGCTGCCAGGTGGATGTCCTGCCTCGGGTACGATGCCCCTCTGGGCACGCAGGCCCCGTTCCCCTGTTACCTGTGTGTCTCATGCACTGTTTTCTCCCAGCTGCCCAGGCTCCACGTTCGAGATTCAATTTCAGCTCCTCTCAAGCATTTATCAAACAATGTAAATTTTACGTCTGGAATTTCTCCAACCCTGAACCCTCTTTCCACTGTCCCAGTTGAGACTTTGAATATGTTCTCTCTCAACTATGCGATCGTTTCTTAACAGATCTCTTTGAATTCTGTCTTTGGCCCTCAAATCTATGGTTGAATAAATGGTAACAGTGAATCTGCTAAAATGCATATCAGATCATGTTTCCTCAAAACTTTCTGGGACACCCATTGCAAATTAAATAAAATTCCAGCTCTGTCACCTGTGGTGACAAATCCCCCTCATCTGGGCCCAGCCTCCTTCTCTGCCACCAGTGGCTGGGGCCCCTGCTCCTGACCACCTGCCCTGCGTGTTTGCTATCCTCCAAAAGGAGGTCGCAGCCCCCCTGGCAGGCCAGTTCTGCGGCATTGTTCCTATTTCTGGGAATCATTCCTGGACACCTCACCCAAAGCAGCCTTTCCAGCTACTTTCTGATTAGACAGATCTTTCTATGCCTAAAATAGCTGATTGTTTCACTGACAGAACCACGACTGACATAAGGGTTCATGAGCAATTTGGGGATGAGCTTGTGCTGAAGGTAAAAAAAAATACGTTTTAGGACAAGTTGAGTGAAAATTATTCAGCAGCATCAATATTTCAAGTTGCCTCGAATCCACCTGAATTTCAGAATCAAGAGTAGAAATAATTGGAAAAACCCTGCCGAACCTAAAACACAACTCAGATCCCCAAGTGTGAATGTCACGGGGTCACAGATTTCCTCATTTTTATTAAGATGTGCAGATATAATGAGACTTTAAAGTTTTCCTACAAGGCGTCTACTCTTCCCCATGAGCCTGATCTCAGAGGGATTTTGGGAGGGACGGTGAGGAGAAGGGGCATGGAATTCAATCTCTGCCCATTTGTGGAATTTCAGTCTAAGGAACGTAGTTTTATTCTGGTGGCAGCTCAGTCTTCCTGATTCCTGCCCTCTCCATAATATGTGGGTGCACAAGGCTGTGTGGATGAGCTGTCCCTGGGCCCTCTACCTCTTGCTGAGCCCCCATGTGAAGTGGCTGGTCTGGCCTGGTCCCTGAACTGGGAACTGCTAAGGACGGTAGATCCTGTCTAGGGCTGGGGCCCCGTGCTGTCACCCACTGTTCGAGCCTGTGCCTCTGTTCCTTGCCTCTGACCGCAGATCCACCTCTACTGTGGCTTCTTTGTTCTTCCTTGAGCTTCTACTGGTTCTCTGGTCTTAGAACACTCACGGCCCCACCCCAGGGTGTGAGGACTTCCTGATCCCTGGCCCAAGAATCTGCCTGCGACCCATGCTGCCATGTGGACGTGGGCCCTCCCTGGTCTTCCAGATGGAGCAGGAGGCAAATCCTCCCCTGCTTCCAGCTTTCCTCTGAACACATCTAATCTGTGTCCGTGCTGAGGTTTCTACCTGGAGATGGGACACAGGTACTGTTCTCTTGGTTCTTGGTCTACACGGACGGGGGTGATGTTTTCACTTCTGCCTCTTCTCAGTTAGGGAACCCCTTTGTGTCGTAATCTCCCTTCCCAGTGTCCAAACCGGACATCTGACCAGCACGCAGGACTTCGCAGAAGAGGGTAACATGGTTAAGAGGATGTTGATGGTTACGGTGGGTGAGTCATAAAGAGAAAGCAGGAGCTGGGGATCCTAGAGGGAGAGGGCAGGAGAGGTGATCTCAAGTTACCCACCCTGGCCAGGGCATCGGGCAAGCAGCCCAGCCCAGCCCAGTGTTCCGAGTATGGGCTCGGAAACTGCTCCCCCATGAGCTCTGAGACCTTGAGCGGGTCACATAACTTCTCTAAGACTCAGTTTTCTCACTTGTAAAGTGGGGACCATAATGGGACTTACCTCAGTGGTATGTTGTGTCGCAGGGAGTAACGGCTGTGAATTCATTTCAGGCACTGGGCACAGCCTCACGCACAGAGCAGCCCCCAAACCCAGGCTGTCATGAAGCTGTCGAGGAGGACCCTCGTGAGAACAAAGAGGGCAGACCGGCTGTGAGCACCACCCGGATACGAGTTGTTACTCCTTGTATGACGTTCAGTTGGAAAAGGTTGCAGGGGATGCCCTCGCTGGCACTGTGAGGCATCTGTGAAGTAGGGGTGGGTTGCGACAAGGACCGGAAATGGAAAGTGATGAAGCTGGAGCCCCGGAAGAACCGGAAAAGAGGCCAGTCAATCAGGCAGACATGAATGAAGGTGAGGCTACAGGTAAGGGGGAGGGAAGGGGGACCCATGCGTAAGGGGCTTGGCGGCAATGTCGCACTAAGCAGACAAAGTTGTAGTTAAACAAGGAACCTACATGAAGACGACATGTGATCGATGCTGCTTGGCCTTCTGCTGAATCTGACTATGGAAGTGAACACATCTGTTATAAGACTACCTTCACGAGCTCTGAGAATGACACCCGTCTTCCTTGGAGTAGATGATCAGAATTATTTTGTTTCTTCTTTGGCATTTTTATTTTTTTACCCTTTTCTTCAGAAAGTCCATCATTACAGGTTCTATCCAGCCATGTGACACTCCTGGTCCCAGCACACACCCCGGAGGCCTTTGTCCATGAGGTCAGCAACGTTCAGCACATACCTGCGGAACGGTCTGAAGTCCTACAGGCCATGGACACACTCCCACCTGAGCAGGGCAGTGACACCCTCAGCTCCCCAGCCCAAACTGTCCCCCCCAAGCAGGCTGACACCCCCAATTCCCCAACCCAGACCATTCCGCCCGATCAGGCTGACACCCTCAATTTCCCAGAAGAAACCATCCCACCACAAGAGGGTGACATTCTCAATTTCCCAGCCAAAATCATTCCCCCCAAGCAGGCTGACACCCCCAATTTCCCAGCCAAAATCATCCCACCCAATTCCCCAACCCAAATCATCCCACCCAAGCAGGCTGACTCCCCCAAATTCCCAGAAACAATAATCCCACTCAAGCAGGCTGACACCCCCAACTCCCCAGCCGAAATCATTTCACCAAAGCAGGGTGACACCCCCAGTTCCCCACTCAAAACCATCCTGTGCAAGCAGGCTGACATCCCCAATTCCTCAGAAAAAAATACCTTGCCCAAGCAGGGCAATACCCCCAATTTTCCAGCAAAATTCATTTTGCCCGGGCAGGGCCACACCCACAAGCTCTCAGCCAAAACCATTCTATCCAAGCAGTGTGACACCCCAAAGTTCTCAGCCGAAACCGTTCTGCCCAAGGAGGGTGATGCCCCCAAGTCCTCAGCCGAAACCGTTCTGCCCAAGGAGGGTGACACCCCTCAGTCCTTAGAAGACACCATCCAGCCAATAGAAGGCAGCCTGCAGTCAGCAGATGAAGCCATGCAAGTCCTGGAGGAGGATCTGGTGAAGGTGATCCTGAGCAAGGAAGACTTCGAGGTGGCGCTGAAGGAAGCTGGGGAGAGACTGGTTGCTGTGGACTTCTCGGCCACGTGGTGCAGGCCTTGCAGGTCAATCAAGCCCCTTTTCCGGTCCCTGTCCATGAAGCACAAGGATGTGGTGTTCCTGGAAGTGGACGCTGATGAGGGTGAGGGGCTGGCGAAAGACTGCAGTATCGTTTGCATCCCAACCTTTCAGTTTTATAAAAAAGAAGAAAAGGTGGGCGAATTTTCTGGTGCCCTTAAGGAAAAACTCGAGACATTCATTACCGCATTAAAGTGATCGTGTGTTCCAAAAGCAATAGGAGCAGTCGGCTGTTCATAGCTTGTGATTTTTTATTTACGAAAAAAGATGAGGGGTAACAAAAGTGTGTGTCCAAGTGGCACCTGCATGTGAATCGGAAACAGTAGCTCAACCCTTTCCCAAAAGCAGTCAAAGCCCTAATGCCTGTTGTGACTGTGTTCTTGTTGATGGGACAGTGTGATATTAGAATTTCCTTTGGTGGAGATATTGGAAGTCCAGTTGTCCCCTATTTTTTAATCTTGATTTTTTTTTTTCACTCACTCTTGAAAATTCAGCTCGTGTGATCCTAGTGGCAACACTGGAAATTTAGACAGTTTTTCTGTAGAAGGACATGTTTTAATGATGAGTGGAAATTTCTGATGTTCACATACCTTTGGGATATCTGATAAGAAAGTAAAGAATTTGAAGGATTCACATATATCTAACCTCCTTCATGTGCGGGAAGTGCTATGGAGGCCTCAGGAAATGTCACGGGCTCCACAAACATCTAGGGGATTCTTTGGTATCAGAACTGAGACCAAGGCCATGTTTCCAGATTGCAAGTTCAGGCTTCTTTCTACTGATCCAGGCTCACAAAATCTGAGACAGCTCAAAACTTCTGGTTTTCTCAGACCAAGAGATTTATGGTTCAAGTTTAAATTAGTGTGATCCTTGGTGCCATTATGACATCAGCAACCTAGTAGCAGAGTGTCTGCTTTGTCGTCCTGGTAACTGGGTTTCTGATACCTGTTCTCAGATGTCTCAGAGTGTGTGTGTGTATACACATATATATTGCATATATATGCATATATTTAATATATACAATTTGGTGAGCTTGGACATATGCATACACACATGATACCATCACCACCATTGAGGTAATAAACCTACCCACAACTTTCCCTGTGTGTCCCTTTCCTTGGTGTGTGTGTGTTAAGAATACTTTGCATGAGATCTACCCTCTTAACACATTTTAAGTGTACTATAGCATATTAACTACAGACACTATGCTGTCCAGCAAATCTCTAGAGCGTATTCATCCTGGATAACTAATTTTATACCCACAGAACGACAACTCTGCATTTCTCCCCATTCCCTGTCAGCCACTGTCTTATCTTCTGCTGATCTAGAATGTTTTAAAGAATTTGAGGGCTTCCCTGGTGGCGCAGTGGTTGAGAGTCCGCCTGCCGATGCAGGGAACACGGGTTCGTGCCCCGGTCTGGGAGGATCCCACATGCCGCGGAGCGGCTGGGCCCATGAGCCATGGCCGCTGAGCCTGCGTGTCTGGAGCCTGTGCTCTGCAACGGGAGAGGCCACAGCAGTGAGAGGCCCGCATACCGCAAAAAACAAATACAAAACAAAAGAAAACAAACAAAAAACATTCCAGTTGGGCAGCGCCAACTGGATGGTTAGGGGGGCTCAGCCTAATGGTTAGGGGGGCTCAGCCGACAAGAGCTGGGGAAAGACTGACACGGAGAAGGTGGGGAAGCAAAGCAAGGAAATGGTTGGACTGCTGCAGCCTGAAGCCTGGTTGGCTGTGATCCTCAGGTTTCAATTTCTTACCCTTGAGGCATCTCAGGCTTTGGTTTTGGTTGGCTTGCAGAGGCCACCAAAGCCCTGGAGCCACTTCTGTCTAATGGGCTCCTTGTTTAGTTGCTTTAACAAGGGCTACAGGCCGGAGTCCTCCTGGAGCAGGCTGTGGGGTCTGGGTTACATGCCTCCTAAGGGTCTGGCTAGACAGAGGGCCTTCCTTCCCCCAGTCAATGCTTATAAAGCATATGGGGACCAGGAAAGCAGGACTCTGCTCTTCTAAATTCACTCAGAAATGAAAAATGGAAACAAGAGAATAAAAAGGTCCAAATACAAAGAACAGGATGATCCCTATTTTATTTGAAAATGGAATAAAAAGCATTAAATGTTGTCATTGGCTCTCCCTGTATGCATATTTTTTCTTTCATTCTACTTTTTTCCTCTTACTTATAATAGAAGAAAAACAAACAAACAATAGAGTACTTTGGAGACCCCAGTTGCTTAGAAACTGCTGGGAAATACAAAATTTGGAAGGACAAAGCAAAGGGGAGTGAGCACACTGGCCCAAGGTCACGGATGCTCTGGTGGAGTCTTTGAACGCTGAACTTAACCGCAGGTTCTGTGTTCCAGTTGTGCGCTCTGGGCCTTCCCGGCTTTACAGGACAGATGGTCATAGAGACTAAATCAGTAGCAGTTCTTCTTCTGGAGATGAACTGCCTTGGTGATCTTGGGTGTCGTGGGGTAGGTGATATATTCGCTTTTTGGTGGCAAGTGACGGAAACCCAACTCAAACCTGCTCCAGCAAAAATGGAGGGAGTACTGGATCTTGAAAGTGGAGATTCTAGGGGGACAAACTGCTTCAGGTGGGTGTGGGCGTTCAAACAACAGCATCAGGACCTGCTGTTCTCCACCTCTTGGCTCTGCTGCTCGTGTTGATTTTAGCATCGCTTGCTTCGCTGGCTTGTGAACACAGATAAAAAGTGAGCCTGTTACCTAATAACTCAAATCAAAGTCCCTGGGAAGACTTTGACTGTCTAGTCATATGCCAATCCCTGCACCATCCTGAGTACTTGGGGGAGAACTTGCAAGTCTGGGTCAGTGCCATGAAAGCATCAAAGCTAAGCAGGACCACCACGGGGGCAGGGGGAGGAGGGAAGAGGTGCTGGGCAGACTAGCGTGTCTTCTGCAGGGGATGGCGATGACGTTGGACACACTGCCTTGGACCAAGGGCTACACCAAGAATGTGGTCAGCATCAATCAATTCCCAACCTGATAAGAAGATGCTGTGCACCTACCCAGTGCCTTTCAAACACCCCCTCTCCTTTCATTGTAATCCAGTCTGATTTCCTTAAGTCTGTATCTATAGGACTTAGAAATCAATACACTCTGTGCCTTATTCAAATGACAAATTATCTTATGGTAACACTTGAGTTTCGCCAAAGATGGCATACGGAATATGAATCCAAAGACAGCATGAAACACTTAGCAACTAGATACTCAGAAAGATGCAAAGGATATGAACAAGGTAAGACAGTTTTGGGGTCTGAGTGATGCTTTAGAAATTTATTTTTCTGTAAGTATGAGCAATTTGATTTCATAGTGGGGATCTATACAGACTGTTCCTTAGATGCTCAACACGTTTGTCTTTTTGAGGCAGAAATGTTCAAATAAATTATACTTAGCAAATATGGAAAAGATGTGGTATATTGTTGCTTACAGAATTCCATTGTGATCTGGGGCAGGTTTTTAAGATCTTGCAAGGGAACTGTGAAATGGTACATTCTATGGAAATAGAAGTTAACTAAAAAACAAGATAAACCAAAAAGTACAGGGAGAAGATGGCTGCAAATTCTGAAATAATCGTGACTCTTTAATCAGGAGATCCTTTAACACCCATGGTAAAAAGTGTCAACCAGGGCAACAATGACACACACTGGGATTGGCATAGCATGGATCCAGGTAAAGCCTCACGGTTTAGGAAAATCAGGATTTTTTCAAACTCTAGAATGGAAAAAAATGATTGACGTGAATATGAAAAAATGGAAAGCGGTACACATGAAGTTAAGGTTGGTAAAAAGGCAGTGATTGAAACGGAAGAAGGTGAATTGTGAAAACAAAGAAAATGTGATCATTCTGTCGCCTATTGATAGGAAGTGTAGTGCTTTTGTGCTCACATGTTGAGTCATCTTCTTTTAGGTTAAGATGGCGACTTCAAGCAAGAGTGAGACCTGGCGTGGGAAGCTCGGAGAGGAGCAGGGTCGTTCTGGCATCGAAGGCGTCTGTGGACTTGATTGCTGCTTTCACTAAGCACCCCGGGGGGGTCTCTGGCCTTCGGAGACCACTTACTGGTGGGGCTTGAGGAGGGTGGACAGAAGGGCTGCTTCTCTCTCCGTGCCCCTTGTTCTTTGAAAGGCAAAGCTAAATGCAGGTCTAATGACTCATAGATCAATATCTTTCAGGGACATTAGGACAACTTGGAGGAAATCACCAGTCAGCTAATGATTCTCAGTACAGAAATGTCAGAAGAGGCTAGCCGCCTCCCAGAGACGGCTTTAAAGAAGATTTCCTTTAAATCATGCCAGTTAACAAGGGCCTGGCTATAGTGTGTTGTCATGCTCTCACGGACAAACAAATGACTGGAACTGGAGCAGCCTCTCAGTGAAACGATTCAACATTAGTGGATTTGAGTGAGCTCCTCCCCGTGTTCATCCCCTTAAGTAATTTGATCTCTCCCTCTGAGGGCGAAATCACTCGTATGATAAAGATGATTACTTTCAAATAATCTCTGCTTTTGCATCTGAGGTTTTTAAAAAAGCATTTACAAAGCCAAATTATAATCCCACTTTATTTTGGATTGCTACATTCATATATGTCTACAGATGTAAAAATGCTAAAATAAAATGGGTAGATGTATATGTTGCATACCAGCAGCCATTGTGTCTCCTCTTCAAGCTCCATCCATGGTACCGATTCTTTCCTTGTGTGCTTTGAAAAGAAAGGGGCCAAGATTTATTATGTGTGGTTCAGACACTAAACATGTTTATAGTTGATATTCAGGTTGAAGGCAGAAAGATGGGTGCATACGTCAGAAATGAGCTCTATTCAGAACTGACAGAGAAACTGTTTCGAATGAGGTGAATATTTGGAAACCACAGGCCGTCCTGTGGGAAAACTGTTTACAGGTACATGGGATACCAAAAACTCCTGTTTCTAATTAAAATTAACAAATTGATTTCTAATTCTCAGGATTCTTCTCTACCTCATTGACTTGCTTAAATGTGAGATCTTGATAACCCTTGTTTATTCTCTTGGATGGAGATTTGATGCCTTTCCAACAATTCAAGTGAAACACATCCAAACGTCCCCTCTCCAGGAGGGAAGAGTTGAGCTGACCAGCAGGGGCATGGAGAGTTCCTGAAGGTCAAGGGCAAGCAGAGGTCTCTCATCTCAGGCAGTAGAGGATGCCAACAAGCTGAAAATGAAGCAGTGAAGATGAGACCCAAGAAACTGGGAGGGGACTGCAGAAGTTTCTGAAGCCATAAGGGTGACCTGTGGGTAAAAAAGTCAGAACTTGGTTACCGGACATGGGAACAAGATGCGCTCAGGGAAGATGACGGGGCAAGGGGTGGGAAATGGAGGAGGTTGTCACCTGGGACAACCAGGGATGAGTGGGGCACAGGTATGGTGCAGAGGTGGGTCACCCTGGTTTCAAGGGCCGTAGTCAGGGTGGACAAGACCTTGGCATTTGAGTGCTGCCCTGGCTATTGCACTTACACTTACGATTTCTTAAGTAGATCATGGGGCTACACCAGAAATTTGAAATTGTATTGCTTATGAAAATTTGAGAAACTGGATGGCTGTAACTAGATTATGTTTACCAATCTCACTCTAAATTAAGTAATAGGATGGGTGGCCAAAAAGTCCATCTGAAATACAAGATGTTTAATCCTGTAATGGGGTTTGCTGTCTTTGCTGTCCCTTGATTAAAGACAAAGCACAGTTTACATATATATATATATATATGTATGTATATTCTTTTCCATTATGGTTTACCACAGAATATCAAATATAGTTCCCTGTGCTATACAGGAGGACATTGTTATTTATCCATCGTATATATAATAGTTTGCATCTGCTAATCCTAAACTACCAACCCTTCCCTCCCTCCCCTCCCCTCCCCCTTGGCAACAACACGTTTGTTCTCTATGTCTGAGAGTCTGTTTCGTAGATTAGTTCATTTGTGTCATATTTTAGATTCCACATATAAGTGATATCATATGGAGTTTGTCTTTCTCTGTCTGACTTACTTCACTTAGTATGATAATCTCTAGGTCCATCCATGTTGCTGCAAATGACATTATTTTATTCTTTTTTATGGCTGAGTAGTATTCCATTGTATATATGTACCACATCTTCTTTATCCATTCGGAAAGATGACCTATAAGTGTTCATTAACACATTCATTGGAAGGCAAACAAGGCTATAGGAAAATAGGAGATTGCAAGGTGGTGTTCGAACAGAAGGCATTTCTGGGACTCCACCCTGGATGGGTGAAAGGGTACGTGCAGGAACAGAGGAGCAGTTAGCCGAGGGGAGCTGCCCCAATAAAAAGCCACGTTCCTGTGCTCAGTTCAGAATCCACTGGTGGAAGAGATGGCTAAGTCCCCAGGAGGAAGGAAAGAAACACTGTGCGATTCC